GAACGCTTACTTGACTTTGCAATCGAAAACAATCTAACTATAATGAACACAACATTTCAACATCATATCCGAAGGCTCTACACATGGAATAGTCCAGGAGACAGAGTACGCAACCAGATAGATTATATTCTCTCTAACTCGAGATGGAGAACCTCGTTCAGGACAGTACGGACTTACCCCCGGAGCAATATGTGCTCGGATCATAAGTTACTGGCAGCAAAGATTCGTATAAAGTTAAAAAATGTTGTAAGAAAACCAAGACCAAATCAGATGAGATCCCCGACGTAACACATTTCCAACAAGAACTACTGAAAACATCGTGGAACATTAACGAGAACACCCAACCCCAACAGATTTGGATAGACTTTAAAAATTGTCTGAGTAATGCCACTTCTCGACAACTAAACAAAAGACAAAAAAACAAACATTGAATTTCTGACAGCACATTGCTAAAAATTGAACAAAGACGACCATTAGTGCAAAGTGGTATAAAAACACAAGATGAAAAAGATAAATATAGAAAAATAAATACAGAGATCAAACACAGTTGCACCATCGACAAGAATAACTACTATGAAAAAATATGCCAGGAAATAGAATCTCACGCTTTCACAAATCAACCAGGGGACCTATTTAAAAAGATAAAGTACCTCACAAGAGAATTCAAGCCAAAAACATGGGCAATAGAAGACGATCGAGGACAACTTAAAACCGAAATTAACGAAATAGTGGAACGATGGCGAACATACTGCGGAACACTGTATAAAGAAAAGATCGTCAGCCTAGTTGCTCTTTCCACAGTGATATAATTAATGAAGAACCAGACATACTGAGATCGGAAATTGAAGCAGCAATAAAAACCCTAAAAACATCATAAAGCCCCCGGGACCAGATCACATCACGGCCGAAATGCTCCTAGCGTCGGGAGATTTTGGTGTGGACATCTTGCACAAGTTATGCAATATGATATGGCATACTCACCAATGGCCATCAGATTGGACCGATTGTTCCATAATAACCGTCCACAAAAAGGGATCTCCAGCCAAATGCGACAACTTTCGTACCATTGCGCTAATTTCACATGCCAGTAAGATTCTTCTTCATATCATTAACGAAAGGTTAAAACTGTATATTCAACCACAAATCCCTCCAGAGCAAGCAGGATTCACAAGAGGTCGAGGAACACGTGAACAAATTTTGAATATCCGTCAGATTATCGAAAAGGCCCGAGAATTTAACAATCCACTCTATATTTCTTTCATAGACTATCGAAAAGCTTTTGACAAAGTCAAATGGTCAAAACTATGGATGGTTCTTAAAGAAATGGGCGTGCCTTTTCATTTGATTTCATTGATCCAGAATCTCTATGTAAATACCAAAAGTAGAATTACCATCAATGGCGTTACTTCGAAGACTTCCAGCCTACCTGTGGTGTTAGGCAGGGTGCATACTATTATTCAATATATATACTGAATATATCATGAGAAGGGCATTGGAACATTGGCAAGGGGGGGATAACAATTAATGGTCACAAAATTACCAACCTCAGATTTGCAGACGATACGGTCCTTCTAGCGGGAAACGAGGAAGAGTTACTGCAGCTTCTAAAATTGGTTGAAGACGAAAGCGAGAAACTTGGACTTGAAATTAATCCCTCTAAAACAAAAATTATGATTATCGACAGGCAAAACAACAACAAACCTGATGTAGTGAGCATTGGTCGTTTTGAGGTTGTAAGTCAATATATATATCTTGGGTCACTTATAAACAACACGGGATCGTTAGAAGGGGAAATAAGAAGAAGATGTGAAATGACAAGAGTGGCAGTGCGAAAACTCTCAAAGATATGGCGAGACAAAAACATATCTAAACACTTAAAAAAAAGGCTTGTTCATTGCCTAATATTTCCTATATTAATGTATGGCTCCGAGTCCTGGACGGTGAGACAGTCAGAAATGAAAAAATTGACGCAACTGAGATGTACTGTTGGCGACGAATGCTCAGAATTCCCTGGACTGCCCGGCGAACCAATGAATCCATAATCCAAGAACTGAACATCACAGAACGCCTCTCAACTTCTCTACAGTCACGTATACTTAAATATTTCGGTCACGTTATGAGGAGGGATACTGACTGTATGGAAAAACTCATTATACAGGGCAAGGTTCCGGAAAGAAGACCACGAGGCCGCTCGCCCTCCCGATCGATAGACCAGCTATCAAAAATCACCCACAAGCCACTGCACACGCTTGTACATGAAGCACAAGACAGGGAATTATGGAGACAAACCTCAACATCACCTGCTCACTACATTCCTTTTGTAGGAATAAAGACAGAGAGAGAGTAAAATATTATTACAAACTCTGTGGACTATTATAGAACATTTTTCTGACCGTGGAAAAATTTTCTGTAATTTGTTTCATCCTATAGTAGGTACCTTTTGAAGTTTTGTCCGATGATATACAGGTTGTTAACTCGACAGTTACTTATAGGGGGACAGAATGGCAACACTGCCTATTGAGAACGCATGCACTTATAGGGTATTCTGCCGACTCGTCCCGTCGCACAGTGTTTTGAAGTATAGGGGAAAGTGGACAAAAATTGAAAACTCGATTTTCACTGCCAGAAAATGTATTTTCTTACATTACTAATAAAAGATAACAGAATATTTTATATTTTAAACTAATTTTTATGATATAAAAATAAATTAAAAATATTTTTGGCAAAAAAAATTAATTATAATTTTTATAAATATGGAAAAAATCTCCTGCAGCCCAAAGGGTAATTATTTCTCATTATTAGTAAATAACAAATTAAAAAAACAAAACGTTCTCCAACCGAGTACATATCAAAGTAAAACCTCTGACGAGGGGTAGGGGACAAAAAACTAACAATCTTTTAAGATGTTTATTTAAATTTAATTTGCTTCAAAAAAAGAAGGGGGCGACATGTTTCGGGACTTAACAATTCCCATCTTCAGGCCCAAGAAAGCTAAAATAATTATAATCAGAATAATAAACAAATTCCAATAGTTAGTTATACAGAGGTCAAAAAGTATAAAATACAATCATAAAACAAATTAAAAGGTTAAAAAAAATTTTCAAAAAAGGTTTGGTTTGGTTAAAAAGTTATTTCTATCACAATTATTCAATCACAGATAACATTATGGCAAGCTCAGTTTGAAAATTAAAACAATTAAATTAAAATCATAAAGGGCAATAATTTAAGTTCAACAAAAAACGAAAAAACTTTGTAAACATAACTTAATTTTTTCACAAATTTTTGCCACTTTTTCACTTTTGGCATTATTGTACCATTGTTCAAAAATATCTTTTATTTTAAGTACTGGACATTCTCCTAAAAAAAAATCGAAAACTTAAAATATCGCAGTTTTCCGCAGAAACTGAAATAATGGTTTTAAAGTACAATACTTGGGACAACATTACACGAAAAATCTCGTCTACCATCTTATACCATTTTTTTAAAACCTTAAATAAAATTATACTACTAATTTTCATTCAGATTCGATTTGACTTTTTGTAATGGCCATGTAAAAGCAATGATCGAATTTAACAACAGCTAATATGGAAAAAGAATGTACCTTCTATAAGTGTTTTTCTCCATTTTGCCATGTTTCAACCATAAAGTTCTTGCCGCGAGTAATAAACAAAGTAACAACCTGTATTTGACGCTATTAGCACAGCTATTAGTCATGTTACTTCTTAGCCAATCATTTTGTTACCACTATTTTCTGTGTGGCCTATGATCTAATCCACTGTGATATTAATAGAATCACAGTGATAGTTTTCTTTCAGTACTTGACTCGTAGTTATTTAAAAATTTTGTATGATGGAAAATGACTGCTTATAGTTTTAATACCGTATGATCGAATAAAAACGGCGTCAGCGATGGCTATGAAATGAAGATCACTGTCATTTTATATGTAAAATTATATGGAAAATGTCATCGATCGTCATTTATAGCCATCGCTGACGTCGTTTTTATTCGATCATACGGTACTTAATGTGTCACACTTTCTGCGGCGCTGCAAAAGCAGCCATAAGAATGATCTCAAAACAGTAGATCTCAAAACAGAGACAGGCCAAAAACTATATGATTATGAAATAGTGTTTATGATTTATGTAAGGTCACTGTTATTGAAAAATCATATTCAATCATATTATTATTGTCTGTTGGGTGTTGAGTATTTACTCTAGCAGGGAAGGTTTTAAGTTCATAAGTTGTATCCGCTATAGTTGCTTTAATTGAAGATGATATAGATCAAAATTATGTCACTAACAGATTTAGATGTGCACGAAGTACAGTGCAGTAGCTTCCTCGAGACACTTTCCTAAGCTAGACGTCGAGGAACCTTTGTATGAGAACTTCGAAGCGAGACGATAGATTTATTGTAAGTTTATCGCTAAGAAACCGCCGCGCCGTTTGCCAGCCTTTCAAATTTATAATGAATAGAGAAACGTACTTGTAAGTGAACGGACTGTAAGAAGAAGATTAAACAAAGCAAATCTAATATCAAGAAGGCCTGCTTCGGGACCACAACTTACTAGGTCTGTTGACTAGGACCAAAAATATAAAAATTACGAAAAAATGTTAGTGTCTTCTTCAAAAGCGAATATCTCCAACAATAATAAAGCTATTCAGATGAACTACAAAAACCAACTATCTAGATAATAAAATGATTTTTAAATTCCTTGTCGTGTTAACATATTCTACACGGTATTTAAAACTTTCACCAAAATATCAGCATTTTATTTTCCCTCGTATAATTGACAGATGGAAACTTTTAGTTTTAATTTAGAAAAAGATACTAAAAAGTCCAATCATTTAGCTACATATTGCTTAAAAAATCATCAAAATTGGCCCACTAGAACAAAACATATTCAATTTTAAAATACATAAAAATTTTAAGGTACCTGTTTTTCGTACCGGTGAGTGTATATTTAAAATAAAAAAAATAACTAAACTTTTTTCTTATCTAGGTCGACCTGGTACTGATTACCCCGTCCTGGGAATAGTGCCCTACACCAATTTCTATTGCGACGAGCAACCGTATCCCGGTTTCTTCGCGGATCCAGAGACCAGATGTCAAAGTTGGCACTACTGTGACATCGATGGACGACAAACGACGTTTCTATGTCCCAACGGAACCCAGTTCAGCCAGCTGGTGTTCGTGTGCGACTGGTGGTTCAACGTTAGATGCGAACTGAGCGAAAAGTTGGTACAATTTGTTAAAGTTTTTTGAATAAAATTGGTAAACCAGAGAATAAATAGAGATGTGTTATCCCAAAAGTAGATATTTTGACTAATAACAATAAATTCAAGCACATTTTTAAATTAAACCACTCATATTATTTACTACCTAAGTTGGGAGATAACCAGGACCGTTGTTATTGGTATATTTAATTCATAGCTTATTTTAGCAGATTAAATAAAAAATTAGTGTTAACTCTAAAGTAGCAACAGCAATTGTAAAATAACTACACTCAGATGCAAAAAAAAACGCAACGGAGAAAATTTTGGTCAAACTTAAACTGTTATATTTTTGTTATTTTTAGCCCTATTCTCATGAATTTTTTAGCAAGCTCTATATAATTATATCAACTTTAATTTGCAAACTCAGCTTTTTATAAACTTTAGTATTTGGCATATTATAGAGGGTTAATCGAGGGGTTGTTTTTTTACCCTAACTTTGACACACCCTGTGCAATAATTTCGTGTGTAAATTTTCCTGAAATATAATTTTAGGGTCAGAACCATGTCTCTTGAGCATTTTATTTTTTGGATCATGTCAATACATGCCTTGGTTAATTTTTAAGAGCGAAATGAACTTGCCACCAAGAATTTGCAATTTTTTCAATTATAATTTATTTTTGAAGTTTTTTTTTCAATACGCAGCTTTGATAATTATTGTGAACTGCCCATTACGCCACTACTATGAACTGTCCATCATATTTGATGTTTGTATACTTCAGTATTACAGATGTTTTCCTTAATATCGTTACTTCTATTATCATTATTAATGTTTATTAAAACCAGGACCGTATCGTTAGTCTTTAACGTTATTTTTTTAATTTAGTATAGAGTATCCGATGCAGCGTAATATGACGTTACGACAATAGTCACCAAAACCATCTCGTCTTCTTAAAAAATTACATCAAAAGTAATGATAACTGAAAAAATTGCAAATTGATCGTGATCAGTTCATTTTGCTTTTAAAAATTAACCAAAGCATGCATTGATGTGATCCAAAAAACAAAATGCTCAGGAGACATGGTTCTTACCGTAAAATTATGTTTTAGGAAAATTTACACACGAAATTATTGTACAGGGTGTTTTAAAGTTAGGATAAAAAAACAACCCCTCGATTAACCCTGTATAATATGCAAATTACTAAAGTTTACAGAAAACTGAGTTTACGAATTAAAGTTGATATAATTATGTACAGTTTGCTAAAAAATTCATGCAAATAGGGCTAAAAATAACAAAAATATAACACTTTAAATTTGACGAAAAATTTCTTTGTTGCGTTTTTTTGGCATCTGAGTGTATGTATATAACTTGTTTAACTATCTTAACTAACTCTAAAACTTATATTTAATTATACAGTAAGGTGCGATTTCAAAATCTTTTTGTGAATGAATTCTCTGATACTTTACCCCTTATTTCTTTAGTATACAGTATGTTTTTACTGCACTTTACTGTTAACATTTTTATTAATTATTATACTTAATAGGTTGCCGTTATAGTATGATTATTGAATTTAATATTTTATTTGTCAAATGCACTGATGTCCAGGTCGCAGCGAACAACGTTTGATTTAAGCGGGTCATACACGATGCTTCCCACGATGGAACCAACGTTGGACGCATCATGTATAGGCTTCGACAATATTGCAATTGACAAGTGTGTCTCCTACACGATGTGGCAAATGTTCATGTGTCCAACGTAGGAAGGTGTTTGACACATCGAGTGGGACCGGCTTTAATGGTATTACTGGTCGCTGCGACCAGTAATACCATTAAATCCAAGATTCGACTGTTTTATATTTTAGTATTGAAAATACTTCTGGCCGCGTTTATATGGGACCCATCTTTGAAAAAACGACATGCTAGAGGCAACATGAGTTCAATAACCTGCCTAATCAACTTGTCAACACGTAAGTCGATCGCAAGGCCGTTCGAGGGCCGAAATGAGGTCTTATTAGTGTGTGTGGGCCAACTATTTTATGGATATGGATGTTTAGTCTGGGAAAGCCGATATTATTATAAAAAGAATATGCACGTCAAGGCATGGGTTGTTAAGTACAGTTGGGCTATTTTAATCTAACTCTTTCCGTAGAGAATCAAGAGGCAAATTATACGTGAAAGAGCGGAATAACATAAATAATAAATTTAGACTAATGCAATATTTTTTCTTGGCGCGTAGGATAATGCGCACAATCGATGCATTAAAGGGAATAATTAATTAAATCATTAAATTCCAAAACATATAATAACCGGGTCTCATCGGATCTGCTGATACATTTTGATAAAATCCTTGTATATTATTATAAACAAGGATAAAATTTAGGCTATTAGGACCTATATTTTTTTTTATATGATTATTATTTTTTTAATTAACAACTTAGGACAAAGAAAAAGCTTGCATGGTTTCCACCGCCAACAGGCGTAAAAACAAATGAATCCAAGGCGGTGCCAAATATTTTTTATCGGGATAAGTTTTTATCGTTTGAATATTGTTGTAAATAATTATCATTTAATTAGTGCTAACTTATCAAAGTTCACAACACGGCGAAATTTCAACAAAATCGGCCAACGGATCTTTGAGATATTAATAAAAAAGGCCTATTAGAAAACACATTGACATCTTTAAAATTATACATTTCCGGACACATGTTTATATGAACTTTTTACCTTAAAAACACTCAAAAAATCATCTCCTGAAGTTTGGCCAGATACTTAATTAACACCCTGTATTTAAAAATGGCTGGCTAGTGATTTAGTAAGCTATGTTTATTTTAATAGGAAAAAAATACATTTCATAAAAAATAAACAAACCCATAATACAAATACTATACACCAATTAATTAATTAATTTTAAATGTATCTAAATAGGCACTTTAATAATTGAAAAATGAAAAATGAACAGGAGCACTTCTTAAAATCACTTCATAGAGTATACAAAATATGCTAAAAATAATAATTCCAATAAAAAACATAAATGGCACATTAAAATCTGCATTATCTGAAATCAAACTATAGCTAAACGGGTAATACAATAATAGAGACAAGACGCCGACATCTATAACGCGATGAGCAGTTTTTAATAATTATTCCGAGTTATTATTACATACTTATTGTTTTACAATTTATTGTAATGATGGTTATGGCATTCCTTCAAATAAATTTTGATTTAAGTATTGTTAATATAGTCATATTAATGATTATAGCCCGTATGATTTTCAAAATAAATAATCAAGAGTGTTTTTATCAGAATTATTAAATGATTAAGTCAGTAGCGTAACTTCAAATGTGAGGCCCCCCCGCAAAATTTTTTTGGTGCCCTTATATTAAAATAAAAAAAACACACTAAAAACATAATATAGCTTTATGTACGTATATCAAGTCATTTAAAATATAAAAACAAAAAAAAACTTATAGACTAGAAAAAATAATAACTAGAACTAGAAAAAATAATAATAAAAGAACATAAAAAATAAAACATTAAAAAATAAATCAACACAATATTTTTGGAAATTGTAGGGGACGCTGTTCACATATATATGTATTTAGTAAACAAAATCACGAGGCCCCATTGCGGGTGCTGCGGGGCCTACGCTACGCTACTGGATTAAGTAGAAATAGTTAATATTTAGAAACTTCGTAAGTGTTATATTTTAGTATAATTATGGATTTAATAATTAAATAATTATCTTAAGTTTAAATTGTGGTAAACTTGAGTTTCAATCATTTATATTTAAAATCTTAGGAAAGGCAATATAGATTTTAGGCAGGAGAACTCAAGGGAAGGACTGTGTAATTAGTAATTAAGACTTTACAAGTTTTTTTACTTGCCATTTTTCTTGTCGTTCACGTTGCACGTTGACTCTTCGTTGTGTCACACACAATCTGAATTTCGGATATGATGCAGAGCTGATAATATTAAATAGGCTTAATGGGGGAACTGATAATATTAAATAGCAAATATATCAATTGCAAGGTATTCAAAGAAATATTTTTGTTAACTTTGCAAACATTTAAAGCATGCAATAATTAAAAAAAACTGTGAAAAATTGACGTGAGATTACTTTATAATTCTTGGAAGTCTTGGATCATAAAGATTTGAATTATTGTGGGTCTGTTTTGTTTAAGAAATAATAATTATAAAATAATAATTTCAAAAACTCAACTATCAAAATATAATGGTAGCAAATTTTCATGCATAGATATCATGCATAGGTATAATGTTCTATATTAATTGGACATACTGAAGGTAAACTAGGTATAGTTCCTGCAATCGATAATATATTTTATTGCTTTTTCATATCACACAACATTTTCATCATAACAAAAAACCGTCAATACCGCTACTCATATTATGGGCACCTATGTATATTTGTGGTTGTGACGGTTTTTTATTAGGTATGATGAAAAGAAGTTGCAAACTAAATTATCGTGGAACTATATTTTAATTTATTTTTATCTACAGTAACTATTACTTATTTTTTGTACGGCGAATTTAACCGTAAGTTCGAATATTGGTTAAACCTAGAAATACCTAGGTAATAGCCCAAAATATGCAAAAGGGGGAGTGAGTTTAGGTTAGATTAGAATTAGGTTTTAGTTGGTTTTGCATTAATAAAAAAATATAGGCCTAATCTATACTTAACCTAAACTGACATTTTTTGCATATTTCGGGCTCCTACGTGGGTAACCCTACGTTTAACCAATATTCGGGCTTTTACGGTAACATAATACTCATTCTGATTGGTTTAATCTGGCTCCATAATGAAACTGTGGGTTCCAGGTGCTATTGCAAATTAATGCCATTAATTCTATGTATATACATACCTCACATTTCTATAGTGTAGTGACCGTGATCGTGACCATTCATGAATCCGCACACGTCCATCTCCATCATTAATATTTTTTTTTAATAAATTGTTCACTTTTATAAAAAGCCATCACGATAAAAATCAAATATCAAAATTATTTAACGTTGTGAACGGTTCACTTGTTCACTATACGTATCTCGAATATACCCTACTGGCAAACAAAACCTTAGGTCGGCGTTTACATGTATAGGAGTGAATCGCTAATCTACTAAGTCGGAGAGAGCCAAAATACGAAATATTTGTAATATAATCACTTTAATCTGACGCTAGATCCATGCGCTTGGGAAAATACTTCGCCTTCTGTCTTTATTCAGTACATCTTATTTTACGTTTCGTACACACGAAAATCGGCACCCAAGACCAGTAATGCCGACCCCAGTATTTGCGAATGGCAATTAGTGATACGTTAGACTGCCAGAATGCTGACGTCACGAATGTCAAATTGCTTTCCAAACAAGGTTTAGTTCTTTCATATTTCTATTGAGCTCTTCCAAATGACGTCACAGGTTAATATAAAATGTAAAAAACAGATGATTGCCGACCACCGCCGACTTTTGTGTCTGGTATTTTCAATACGCCTATGATGGTTGCGCATGTTGCAAAATCTGTGAATTTTTTATTATTTGATTTAATGGCCTGGCCTTTGGCTGGTCGCTGCGACCTGGTCGTCAGTGCGTTTGAGCTCTTATTCCAAAAAAATGGAAAATGTAGAGATTATCAACGTTTGAGATCGGGGAAGTTAGCAATTCATTGAAAGCAGGAATTATAAAATACGATCCTGCTTGGGCTGCTACAATCCTGCTTTAAAGTGTGTAAATACCGACTTATACAAATACATGAGCTTAAATAGCGAGTACACAAAAAATTTGTTACAATATTAATTGAAAAGTGTAATGTGAAAAAAACAAACGGCGAAGGCGATGGCTATGAAATAAAGATCGCTGTCATTTTATATGTAAGATTATATGGGGAATGTCATCAATCGTCATTTCCAAGCCAACTTGACGCCGTTTTTTCGATCATACGGTATTAATAAGTGCAATTTGTGAAAATTCTAAAAAAAATAAACAGGTAAATCTTTTGATATCTTGAGAAGGTTTAACGTGTATTATAATTTATTATGCAAGCTAATCAAACTTTTTAGATGAGTGCAACTACGGTAGCGAGCATAGTTTTATGCACCGCGCTGTTTTGCTAGTGGGGACACAACTGTGGCAATTTGGGCTGAAAAAAAAATGTTAAACCGTACATAATTAATATTTTAGAAGATGTTCATCAAAAATTTAAGCACTAGTTAATTAAATAAATTATAGCATTAATATGGATGAAGTTATATTTTAGCCAACTCATATTATAGCCTATTTATTTTTTTTATTTATGTAACGAGCACTTTGTTTACTCACCTGTCAGGGCAATTTTATTATCATTTAAAATTGTCACAACACAACGCGATGTCCAGTTCGGGTTCTTTTTCACTTAATTTTTGCCACCCGAAACAGCGTTACATCACACAAACTTCGTACCTGACAAGTTTCAATATTTAGTTTCAATAACTGCACTAGCAAATATGTGACAAAGTCACGATTTTAATATTATTTCGATGCGATCAACATAAACGATAACCGGACTGCGTGAAATACAAAGCCGAAAAATTTTGTTGAAATGCACCAAGCGTATGCCGATACAGATCAATGTTATATGGATGTTAGGGAGTCTCTATCTTTGTGTCTACTTATTTTCTGGAGATTTTGTGCAAATATCTTCGGAAACTGGATTTTTGGAAAAAATAATAGAGTTTTCTTGATTTTTATTGCTTTTGGTTGACATTACATTTCCTTATTATAATAACATCTTCTATTAGTACGAGAGCTAGCAACGTCGGAAAAACAAGTATCTTAAGACGTCTTGCTCTTTGATATATCTTTTACTATGCTCTCTAGAACAGCATGCGGCTCGTCTGGCTGCTGGTAAACGTTGCGTTCCCTACTGCGCATTGAAAGAAGATCCTATATTTTTATTAGTCCTTTAAATTCTAGTATTGAATATAAGCCGACCGAATATAACCGACCGAGTCTCCATAGCTCAGCACGTAGAGTTTCTGCCTATCAAGCGAGGAGTCAGAGATCGAATCCGAGTCAGTGCAATAACTTTTTATTTTATTTTCGTTTATATTCTGATAGTAAAGTATTAAATATTTGTTTTTTTTTGAAACACCAGAATTATTTAATACTTTACTATCAGAATATAAACAAAAATAAAATAAAAAAGTTTTTGCACTGATCCGGATGCGAAACTCTACGCACTGCGCTATGGAGACATGTTCGATTTATATTCAATACTAGAATTTATAGGACTAAATTAAAAAAAATATATACAACGGGTATCGGCAGCCAGACGGGCCGCATGATGTTCCAGAGAGCATAGTAACAGATATATCAAAGAGCCAGATGTCTTAAAATACTTTCTCGAAAACGTTGCTAGCTTTTAGACTATATAGATTATGTAGTTTTGGCTAAAACGTTATTTTCCTATAATTCGTGTACTTATTTTTTTAACTAGTATTTTTTTTCTATTAGGTTATATGCCATAAATGCCAGACTGTATGGAAGACCTAAACTGGATCCCGCGAAGCCCCACAGAAGCATAACCAAGCAGCTGCTAGAAAACATTTTCAACGATGAGGAGAATTAGAGAACTTACTAATTTCAGTGACTTTTATGTTGTTTCCTTATTTTGCTTGAAAAGTATCTATCTGGCTTTCCTTGGATTCAGTGTCCAGTATAAGATCTAAGCAGTAACCACATTAGAAATATGGAGATATTAGGACAAATAGTATCTATATCTGTTTGTAGTGAGACTAGAAAACATTAGATATTTTTCATCAGTATTTTCATGTAAATTTTTTAATTATTTTTTTTTTGTTAGTTATATCTGTATAATAGTTGTTAATCATGCATCAATTGTTGTATAAAATTTACTAAATTATATGAAAATCACGATATATAAACAAGCAAACCTGTAAAAATCAGTAAACCTAGATGCCATCTCATGACGTAATTCAATAGGGTAGAAAATAATCCAAACCAATCATAGATGTAGTTTTTTTTAATAAATAAAGTATTTGTTATGTTGTTAACAAGATTACAGAATATATTTTTTTATTTAGTACAATTTTATTATCGAATGCTGTTATTTAGTTTTAAACAATGCAAAATGGTTTTAGTTTTCGCTTTGTAATAAGTCCTTGATATTAGAAACAGGGAATTAAACAAAGTTAAATTTGAACCATTTTAGATCTGTTTTCGACCCGAGTTCTGATAATTCTAATGTTACACGAATTCCTCTCTCTCTGAAAATGAGACTTTTTTATTTCCCATAACAAATTAAGTCTATAGAAACTGCACAGATGTTCTTAATAATACGTAAATATACATATATACATATAAATACGTCGTATTTATAATAGTAAATGTAAATTGTTGTGAAAAAATATGTTAAAAATCAAAACGGAAAACTCTTACATAAAAAACATACCCACAACATTAAAAAAAATGACAGTAACTGTGACAGTTCTCTTTTTCGATATACACTTAATTACACTAAAATACACTTCACTCTGCTGCTTCACTTGTACAGGGTGGGTCAAATTCGACGCTTTTAAATGGAAACACCCTTTTCTATTGGAGATAGACGAAAACTAATATCGGTGTCTGGAGCTCAATTTTCATCAAAAACATGATGGTGAAAACCGCTCATCAATATCTGTTACCGTTTCGAAGTTACAAAAATGTGCATTTTTAACAAATCGCTGTAACTTTTTTACTATGGAAAATTTTGTATTTCTATGAAAACAATTCCAAAGCACCTTTTAACGTAGAATTTAATGGTTTAAGTAAAAAAATTTTAAAATTAATAATTTAAGAGTTATCAACAGAAAAATTGATTTTTTATTTGGGACACCCTCTATATTTTTAATTAACTGAAAAGAATTTAAAATTACCTTTCCAAAAATATAGCACACTTGACATTTTGTTATAATCCCCTTCGAAATACAGAATTTTTAGAAGTTCGCCACTTTTAACTAGTAGGCTTTGGACCCCTAATTGATGATATGCCCTTGAAACTCGAAAACATATTTTTCCAGCAAGACGATGCACGACCTCTGATCGCTGAAGTTATCAGCAAATTTTTGCAGCCAATTTCAAGAATAATTGAATAGCTAACCAAGATCCCATTGGCGGTCGAGGCAGCCTGACTTAGTGCCCATGGATCTAATCCTATGGATATATTTGCGGAACAATAAAGGTTCCTTATTCTTCCGTATAGTCGAGAAAATAATTAGAAATACTTAGCAGTTATGAGAGGGTATTTTTCACCCCCACTGAGATAATGAATCCCGCGAGAAATGTTCAAAAACTGCCCCGTCTGTCCATAACAGAAGACGGTTGATATGTCGAACACCTGTAGCAAAATCTCATGTCTTGGTTTGCTATTTATTTTTATTGTTATTAGATATATAGTTTAAATGTGTTAATGTTGGTTAAATATATTTTAAATTGTTATAAAATTCTGCATCTCTCATAGCAAAATATTATTTTCGTTTTAATTGATGCTCACAGCTAGAATTTTTTTGCATTACAGCCGATGCCGTTCAAAGCCTACTTATTTAAAGCGGGCGAATTTCTATATACTCTATATTTTGAAGAGGAATCGTGCAAAATATCAAGTGTGTTATATTTTTGGAAAGGTAATTTTAAATTCCTTTCAATAAATTAAAAATATACAGGGTATCCCATATAAAAAATCAAATTTTCTGTTGATTCTGAATTCTTAAATTATTAATTTTAAAAAAATTATTCTTAAACCATTAAATTCTACGTAAAAAGGTGCTTTGGTAAAATTTTCCATAGCGAAAAAGTTACAGCGATTTGTTAAAAATGCATATTTTTGAAAAATACCTTGTAACTCCGAAACGGTAACAGATATCGATATGCGGTATTCACCATCATGTTTTTGACAAAAATTGAGCTCCGGACACCGATATTACTTTTTGTCTATCTCCTATAGAAAAGAGTGTTTCCATTTAAAAGCGTCGAATTTGACCCACCCTGTACATGCTATTATAATAACTGACTATGACATGATTAAATGATGACTATGGCATAATTAATATTAGAGTTTTATTTTAATATGTAATCAATATGTATTTAAAAATATTAGATTAAATAGAGTAAATATTATCACTCAAAATTTGAATTAAAATTAGTGAATTTCTTAACAAAGGAGGTTATTAAGGTAGAAGGTGGCAACACTGTAAGTTTTAGATACACCGTAGAGTAATCTTAGATGGATAAATAACTGGCACTAAAAAGTCTCTTAAAATTTCTCGGAAAATGTCAAGAAAAAATTATAGCCATGTGTTTGGGGTCGAAATATACTACCAGTTAAAATATCTCTAATTATTTCTGACACCCTGTATAATCTACCGCTACTTTCAAACTATTATTTTTATCATAACTTAATTGTATATCATTTACCTCGTATACATTAATTTGTATAGTATTGGTCAAAACATACAGTTACAAACCAGCCAGAGATAACAACATGATCACAATACAATAAAACTGATTTGATGACTTCTGATTAGCATTAACACGCTGAAAGCATATCTATAATAGTCTAGGAGGTAGTGATTTTTTTTTGTACTTATATTATAAGTCTATTTATCTATGGTACTTATTTTCCCAGTGGGTGAATATATAATATATATAGTTTGTTCGGATTATATATGATAATGACGTATATGACAATTTTTGAGTTTGGCTTAAATTTTCGGATGGGTTTACTAAGTAATAGTTATTTTTTTATACAAGACGATAAAATGGTATTTTATCGTCGACCGAAAAGATTAATTCACGAGCGATGAAATTGCGAGGGAATTAATTTCGGCTGACGATAATGAAATTTTATCGTCGTGTATAAAACAATATTTTTTTAAAAAATTATTCAGAAATTATTATTTCAAGAAATTTATTACGAGTAGAAAAAATATTGTGCTGGGTTGGCGTTGGTTTCTATGTAATTTGGCAAATAAACAAAGCTGTCTCTTTAGTTGTCAGTTTTGAGTCAATATTTTTTAATTCTCTTTCGTGTAGATTGCTGATTGAATTGGAGCCAGAAGTGGCTCAAAACGAAATAAGTAAATTACCATCAGATATTCATGCTGAGGCGACAAACACCATATCCAAACTACTTCCATTTAAATCCCGAATAACTTATGAAACGGAATACAAAACTTTTCAAAAATGGAAGCAATTAAAAAACGTGCGAGAAAAAATAAAATTTGTAACCTATCCTCGCTGTTAAATTATCATTTAATCTACCCTTGTGGTTAAAGTACTATTTTATCTACTATTTTTGATAGATATAAGGAAATTTTAACAGTTACTATGGAAAAAAAATAAAAGGTCCACTTATTTTCCCAGTCATAAATATTTGAGATTTAATAAAGTGAATCACTCCGAGGTTTTGTTTAGGCTTTTTAGTATTTAAAACGTTTTTCCAAGGGTTGAAGTACTAGTCCAACGCCTTAACCCCCAACTTGGAGGACCGGGTAATTTTTAATCAAAGTTTTCTTCCTCTAGCCTTTGGTGATCCAACACCGAACTACAAGGCAGCAGCTTCGTTTAGGGTACAAACGAAGCTGCTGCCCTTACAGGGTGCTATCATCCGGGCCAGATGAACCCTGGTTTTTTTAACGAGGGTGTTACTCCTCCCCTTCACCCTTTTGCAACCTGGCTTGGGACAGGCTTTGGCAGACTTAATAATTTAAATACAGAAAAAACAAAATACCTTCCAATTGGAGCCAATACAGAAAATCTTATTTTGGACAATAATATGGAAATTAGGGCATGTGAAGATTACAGGTACCTGGGATCGATATTTACAGGAGATGGAACGGACGATAGAGAAATAAACAACAGAGTAATACAGGCACGAAGAGTTACCAGATGCATAAATGGCATTCTATGGAGCACTGAAATTACAAAAAACAGGAAATATAATATATACGAGACATTAGTTAAAAGCATATTACTCTATGGATGTGAAACATGGCGACTCACTGAAAGGAATAAAAGGAAATTAGAAACAACAGAAATGGACGCGATTAGAAGAGCAATGAGAATTTCACGGAGGGATAAGATCAGAAATGAAGACATTAGACAACAGATGGGAATAGAGAAAACAATAGTAAATGATATAGAACAAAAACAATTAATATGGTAACGCCACGTTCAGAGAATGCACAATGAAAGAATTCCAAAACAAGTCATTCATTGGACCACCTGGTAAACGAAAGAGAGGACGTCCCAAGAAAACATGGATGGAAGGAATAAGAAGGTCGATGAGCGGGAAAAATCTCACCGAAGATCAATGGGAAAAATCGCACAGGGTGGAAGTTAGGCATCTGACAACGTCGTAGGACGTCCTGACCTGAATTTATATATATATATATATATATATATATATATATATATATATATATATATATATATATATATATATATATATATATATATATATATATATATATATATATATATATATAAAGTTAATCATTTTATTAATGGAAATATCAATCTGGAACATCTAACAATTTGACAGATTTTTGAATTCCATAACCCTTATTTCATATTTTCCAGGATTTGAAAATTTGTCACATCACAAATAATACTTACAATTTCTTAAAAAAATACACGTTTGGCTGTCATTTACAACCACGAAAGACCCGCCAGACTAACAAGTCAGGTAGTTAAATAAGGAGAGAAAGCAGCACGTGTAGAGGTAGAGAATTATATTTCCTAGAGATTTTGTAGATAATTAAATTTTCTACAACATATTACTTTCTCGTGTATCCGATAGTTACAAAGTTATTGGCGAATGACGTTTATTGATGACGGACTGATATTTTGCCACCTTGTATTTTTCTCGGTCGTAAGTCTTGAGAATTTTTTTCGTGTGTCTTGACCGTTGGAGGATTGGTTGACGGATACAGTCTTCCAGGTTACGGATAGAGTCTTCCAGGTTCTTGAGTTTCGCTTTAAGTTGGTTTCCACTTGAGCAGAAGAACGGTTCTGGTCCAGTTTGT